TCTAATTTTATGCACCTATTTATATATTTATGCATGCACATTTTATTTATGAATATAGATTTTGACAATGAGATGTTGGCAAATGTGGCGATTTCTTCTTTTTTTGTCTAGTATAGCAATTTTTGATATTTCAATCAAATTTAGAGAAAGGTTGATCAAAATTTGCCAAAGAACGAATAAACACAACCAAGGATATAATCATGGTACAATTGCCAAGGTAATCTCATGCTATCAAACGATTACATTTTTTTCTTTTATAGTACGTTTATATATATGAGGGTTAACCCACTGGATTTGGATTTAAATTGTCATACCCATTACTTTTACTTCAAATAAATCCTCTCAAAGTAGGTTAACCCTACAAAAAGTTCTAACGTAAACATGGCATTATGCCCCTTCATTGTCAAATTTATATTTTGTAGTTCTTCCTTGAATACGGGCGTACGCTGACAAGAGTTTTTTTTTTAGACCAAATAATAACATGTGATACGAAAATATTTTAGATTTTATTGATTGAAATGACAAGGTCAAGTTCCTCAGAAAAGGGTTGCCATGTTGGATTTAGCAAATGAGTTTACCTTTATTGTTTTGTCATGGGTATAAATCATAGTACAATGAAATAAAGGTAACCTCATTTCAAATTAGCATTCCTACGCCGGTTATTACATCTTGCCGCTGAATAAGAACGTTTTTCGTAAATCGTTTTTCGTTATTACAAGTTTTATTTAAATATGAACTGTCCGATAAGCAAAAAGTCAGACCATCTTCCCTTTATCTTTTAACATAAAGTTTACAGAATTCATGTTGCCATATTTTTTTATTGATTACATGACAATAACAGCAAAATTTATATAAATAAAAAAAAATGGATAACGCAAATCGTTTATTTTATATTGAAGAACTGAATTATAAATTTATTTCACGAAATTAATTACAAATTCGCATTTTGTTTATTATTTATAAACTGAAATGAAAATGCCATTGTTAAAAAGATGCAGTGAATACCAGTCACTTTTAAAAAAAGCTTGCCATGTCTCTGTAAAAATGCATATATTTTAAAGGAAAGATTTAATAATGAGAATCCGATAATGTGAACTTTTTGCTTCACTTTTCCTAAAGTAAGGGATAGCAAAAGTGGACTATAAAGGAAAGATATAAGAACGGGCCCTAGATATATATTTTCTATAATTTACCTTGTCAAATTTCAATGCATAAAAAACAGTTCCCATCTCTGATTTTGTGTGTATACATGAATGTATGAATATATATATTTTGACAATAACATGTTGTCAAATTTATAAATTTGAAAAAAATTGTAAACCAATGATTTCATGACTTTACATTCTTAATTCTACCATGGGAATAATAAGGAGGTAAACAAATATTTTTTTTAAATTTCATTAAAATGTTAACATATTTATTCAGAATGTTAAAAACGTTAGATCTTTTGGTGCACCCTGTTTGAATAGATTGCGTTCGATATTGTTTAATGGAATAATTGAATGCACTGAGTTAGCATTGTGGAAGTTATTTAATGAAAAGGTACTTTCCGTAATGGCGGGAGGCACGACACACGAATGTTGTATAGACATTTGTAAGCATGTTTCAATATTTTGTTCATACAAGCATTTGCAGTATATGGTATTACGTTACGTTTACTGGACAAGCGTGTCGACATGTACTTGGTTAAATAAGATTTTTTGGATCTTTTATAAACTAGTTTTAATTTGCCATATTTTAAACACTTTTTCATTTGTTTATATATGAGTGTGTAGTTGCCATGGACTTTATTTTTTTATTTCTCTTTCCATTATATTCTCACTGAAATATTACCATTTCTGGGAGAATATCCCAATAAATTTGCCGTGAGAAAAAAGAATAGTGGGTTTTTAGCAGGGAATAACCATGGTACAATAAAAAGACAAGGTAGAGCTACCAGCTGATTACATTTTTTTTCTAAGTGTGCCCGACTTCTGCCAATTTTGTGTATGAATTTATTGTTTTGAAAAATTTAAAGATTGATCAGTTTGGATCATATTTTTGAGAGAAAATCCAGGCATTTCATTCATTTTTCGCGCTATTCAACTCAATTTAAGAATAAGAAACAATATGAAAAAATGAAAACATTTTGTTGCATATAATTGTGAATGAGTCTGACAGGAAGTGGGCATAACCTCAGGGCTGTATTTCTTTAGTTTTATGAAGCTGTTCTACCTCCTTATTGTAACATGGGAATAACAAGGAAAAAATGACATTTATTTAATTTTACTCTCCTTTTTTTTCATAAAACTCACTTTTCTTTATCGTTTTCTTTCCCCGTCGGTTTTACAGGCTTAGAAGTCAATTATGACAGTTCCACTAACTAATCAAAAAGTCCTGTGATTAATGATTCATATCCCACCTGATAAATCACCCCATAACATTAGTCAGTTGAAGATAACCCATGAAATTATAGGTTATAGGTGAAGTACGAAATATATTATTAAAAAATATCAAAAGTCAGTTTATAAAATTAAAAAAAAAAACAAATAAATAACAAAAATATGCCAGAGAGAAATAGAACAACTTTTTACTGATAAGACTTTTCACTACGCGTATTCAGTTACTGAATACTACTATGCCCATACTATTTACTACACTTTATAATATCAACTTTCAAAATCACTTGCTATCTTATAAAAAAAGGAAAGAACCCAAAGCACCAACAACGACAACAAAAAAGAAGCCGAAAATCACCTTTCATTGATAAGATTGCCATGGAAAGTACAAGTACTTTGTTTAATGTTTGTGAAAATGTTGTCAATGATAAATAAACATTTTAATTTTATTGTTATTGGAGATTTGTTGGTGGAGGGGATATACTCTTGGCCAAATGAAAATAAGAGTAGGTCCGTTTATTAATGTGATTTCAATTAATATGATTTCACTTAAATGTGTGTCGATAGAAGACCTTTAGAAGGTCGTCGAACAAAAAAAAACAATAAAATTTGCTACTGGAATTACCATTTATCAATGGGATTTAAGAGTAATATTTCCGATAAAAATATTAAAGTAAAAGGTATAAATAATTATGAGTGAAACTTTTATCAGATGTTGAAAATAAACCTGCAGGTGGCCGCTAAATGGAAAATAGGGTCAGTCTTTAACTGACGTTAACAAAAAACATCTTATCTTGAATCAGAGTTGTATTTTGTCAAGCATTTTCCAAAGACAGTTAAGGTGAGAGTACATAAAAAGCCTTTTTTGACAATCGGCCAAAATTTAATTAAGTCTCTAAAGCTCCTTTGTTCTTTTACAAAGAACATTCAAATTCTCGCAAAAGTAGCTGTCACAAAATATGTCATGCGAAGACTTAAAGTTGCTTATGTACTCTCACCTTAAAGTTTCTGAAATAGAGTTAGTTAATACTAACATTTTCACATTTGGAACAAATCATGGTAAAATTAAGGATGTAATGTCATGCAATCAAATGTTTAAACTTTTTTTAATCATTTGACACCTCCACGGTAGAAGAATATAAGCAGACGCATCGAAACAGCTGCAGGGACAATGAACTGTCAAACTAATTTTGGAATTGAAAATGTTGAATGAAAATTTATTTAAATTCGTTAAAATTGTTGAAAAACGCGAATTATAATAACCTCCGAATGTCGTCGTATAAGAAAACATATAAAAATCTACTTATATTTGAAAAGACATTTAAATTTTTTGACATATCAATGTTCCCAAGCGTTGATGCATCTACCTGTATTCTTCTACCATTGTCACATGTAAAGACAAACGTTTAGGCACTTCCATGCCAGAAGAAGGTAGATGCATCAACGCTTGGGAGCATTGATATGCCATAAAGATTTAAATGTTTTGTCAAATATAAGTAGATTTTTATATGTTTTCTTATGCTACGTCAGTCGGAGGCTATTATAATTCGCGTTTTCCAACAATTTTTACAAATTTAAATAATTTTTCATTCAACATTTTCAATTCCAAAATTGGTTTGACAGTTCATTGTCCCAGCAGCTGTGTCGACGCGTCTACCTATATTCTTCTACCATGGGAGCTTCACACAAAATAAGATTACTATAGAGTTGCATTTTATGCTTTCTTTTAAAGTTGATTCACATTTCTGGTTGTGTCGTGAGTATAAGTATCAATTAATGGCAGCAGGGATGTTAGTTCTATATCCGATGTTTTATTTGAGTTTACAGAATTACATATTGGAACAAATCTCGCACAATGTAGGCCGGCCGTTTATATGTAATTTGAACTTCTTTTTAATAAATTTTACATTTTATGTTACTAAATATATATTTTCCATAATATAAGAATATAGAATATATGCAAAACTAAATGTATTCTTAAATATTTTCTTAAATGATGCCGTTCAGAGGTTAGTATAATATTTGATTTTAAACAAATTTAACTAATTCAAATAATTTTTCATTTATAAATTTACATTCCAAAAATGTTTTGACAGCTGTATTGTACAACCAGCTGTGTTGATGCGGGTACCTGTATCATTTTATTATGATAATTTCTTATCGATAATAATACCATCACTTGTTAACATTTACATGATCTCATACAATGTTTACATTTTAACACCTTTATTCCCATAAACTTTGTTTTTTTTTTTTTCAAATAATAGACTTCCAACAAGTTAAATTTATCAAATCCAATTATTTTACTACAACATAAGAATCCCAAATTGGCACGCTTCTTCTCCTCCTTTGCTATTTATAATTCTCATTAATTTGATTGATCTCATTTCCTCCTACCTGTTATTTTAAATGTATACACAAATAACGGTTCTTTCTCTGGCAATATTTCTCACGTGTATTTGCTCTGCCGATACGAGTAATACTGAAAGCAGATTTGAATTAAGGCATAAACAACAAGCGCAAACACACAACAAATCTCCCAGAGCTATAAAGTATGTTCCAGTATGATTAAATAAATAAACAAAAGCATACATACCTACATAGAAGAGCACGAAACAACGAACTGAATGAACGAAGAAATTGTTGTTGCCGAAAAGAAGCAAAAGAAAAAAATTCCCGTTGAAACACTGAAACCAATTTTGTTTCATTTTTGTTTTCGCGGGTAGTAGTGGGTATAAAGCAAAAGTCGTTGTGAGAAAGCACTTCATTGCCATATTAACTCAGGACAGAGTAACAACGCTTAAAACGTACGCAACGGTAGAAACAAAATTCAGACGAGAATGATCGTTAGAGATCGTGCAAATTCGGAAGTAATATAACAACAGCAACAACATTAAGAGAGATACCATTGACGAAAAGTGAATCCCCTTTTGAATGAAAACAAAAGCCATACACAACAAAAAAAAATAAAAACAAGACTACACACTAGTGAGAAATTGATTATGGAATGAGAGTGAATGTGAGTGTGTGCAAGAGTCCAGCTGATGAAAACCCAATAAAAACAAACGTTACGCATTAATTGAATATCTGAACAAATACACCAGCAAGAACAGAAGAAATATAAAAATAAATGCAGTATTACAGAAAACATTGACATTTGAAATAAAAACAAGAGAATAAGTGCCAAAGTATACAAAATGGGAATACGTGTTTATGACAGCAGCGAAATGTTGAACATGGAAGACTACAACACTAGCTGTAGCTGCTGCAGCTGTAGTAGTACTCAGAATACAAGTGAACAAGCCAACGGAACGGAAACGCCGTTGACAACAACTACAACAACCTGTGCCTCAAAAGATCCATGTGGCGCTTACAGAGACATCGTGGGCAACTGCAAGGAAATACATATGGAAACAAATACCTGCAATTTACGCATTGTTGGCAACAATAATCGCATCAAAATATCCATGAATACGGGTAATTTATTAGTAATCGGCAACAATAACCGCCTGAAAATAAAATCAAATCATGGCCATCTCAAGTATACCGGAAATGATGGTCGTATTAGCCTGGGTATTGAGTCGACACAGCAAAATGTTAATTACATTGGTTGTAATGGTACCTTGAAAATAGTTAAATCAATGAAATTTTCTAAAAATAAATCAACAGTCAGCAGCAGCCACAGTAAGAAAACCAATTGCTGTTGTTGCAATACCAGTGATGGTGCTAACAGAAAAACGGAACAAGATGACAAACAGTATAATGGAAATTTTAAGCAGAATTCATCTACCACAAGAACAACAACATCCGCCTCAAATGACAAGAAACCCAAAAAAAAGTCCCATTCATATGGTGGCGCAAATCAAGAATATTGGAATATGTTTAATACAACGTATGATAAAAGGAAAAATTCCCTACCAAATTTGCCAAATTCCCAGAAGTTTGATATGACTGGAAATAAAACAGAAAGAGTAAATCCAACAAAATTAAATACAAATATTATACAAACTATTGGAGATATTGTTATAGCCAATGCTTCGAATATCTGTATATCACCTCAGGTTACAAATATTATTACGGCTAAAGCTCATTAGGTTTCATATATATTTTTTTGTAAATTATATCACAAAACTAAGAAGGACTCATAATCCCTAAGGACTTTTTAGCTCAATAATCTAGTCTTAGCTAATGCAAAAGGCTATATTACCCTGCGGCTTGAATATTCATATTACAAAAGAACAAAACAAAAACAATTGCCAGAAGTATTCCTCTTATATTTTTATCATTCATTTTCAAAAACCAGTTAAATGGTTATTTCATGTTCAAAGATTGAGACTTAATACAATGTTTATTTTCTTGCCTTTAAGTTATAAAAACAAAAAACAGATATTTTCTTGAGAAAACCATGTTCCTAATCAATAGACAATCATGACAAATACGTGTATACATTTGTATTAGCACTAAGCAATATTATTCATTATAGAACAATTGTTATTTAGTACCTAATTTTATTGTAATAGTTATATCGAAAAAAAATTATTTTGACTGATTGTTAAGTAATGGAAAAAAATAATATTTATTTTTTTGAAAAGAAAAAAAAAAAAACAAATATATTTATTAAAATTGCTCATGTACGAAAAAAAATCACTTTTGTTATATTATTTCTGAAAACAATAACTGAGTCGTTTGGAGAATACAACCATTAGGCCACGCAGCAGCGTTGAACTCAATGATGATATCATTTTTCATTTAAACAAAAATTACCGATGCTTTCAGCGTTTCTTATAGGAATCCCATAAACTACACTGTAAGAAATTACAAGAAATGATTGGTGTGTTTACCAATTAGAGTGGTTTGTTTCCTATGCTAACTAACCACTCTGGTAGAATTAAGAAGGTAAAGTCATGTTTACAACTTTTTTTTTAAATTATTCATTTGACTACATCTCATTGTCAAAATATATATTTATAAATTCACTGTATATACACAAATCAGAGATAGAACATTTTTCTCTATTCAGTGAAATTTGACAAAATAATATACAGAAAATGCAGAGATGGTTTGCAATGGCTTTATCTTCTTAATTTTACCATGGTATATTCATAAATTTAAAATCTACAAATATCAGAGATGGGAACTTGTCCTAAAAAATTTAAGTTAATCAAGGTAAATTACAGAAAATGCAGAGCTGGATACTATAATAACATCCAACATTCCACAAAGTGTTATTTTACGGTAAAGTGACCTGTGGTGGGATTCTCTAAAATATATTTTGAGTTACCGAAAAATTCGGTAACTTTGAACAAACACATAGAAGTATAAAGATGGGACAAGACAGAGTCATGATACGGCAACCCTGTGAAAATACCTCTGTTGTTATGATATCGTAACAACATAGTTAGCAATGTTATGCGATTTAAGCCGCTTAGACAATATGCAATTAATTTGAAAAGTCTATGTAATAGAATTTTGAAACCTAATTCTTGGATTTTTCAAACTTTTGTTTGTCATTTTTTTCTATAAATGTGTTTTTTTATATTAACATGGTCCTGTCATGAACTGTTATATAGATAGTATAAACACAAACCATTTGATCAGAATGCATTTTGTCTAGTCTTTACCATTTTAGGTCTTTGCTTTGAAACCTTTAATTACATTTTTAATATCAAAATAAGTTTTCATTGGTATCTATCGGTAGGTCCTAGCGATTACTTTGATTTGAAAACGTGATAAATTTCGTTAATTACCGAACATGACTCAAGAATACAGGTAGATGCATCAACTCTTGGGAGCATTGATATGTCAAAAACATTTAACTGTTTTTTCAAATATAAGTAGATTTTGATATGTTTTCTTATACGACGTCATTCGGAGGTTATTATAATTTCTGTTTTTCAACAATTTTTACAAATTTAAATTATTTTTCATTCAACATTTTCAATTCCAACCTACCTATATTCTTCTACCATGTTACCGAATCTAAAAGCTATTTACTTTTATCAACTTTTGTCGATAACTTAAAATATAAGTTAGAGAATCGCACTATTGATACGATTTTTTGGTATAATTATGTCAGTAGACACATTCGTGCGTAAAAAGCCAAATATAGTTTCATTTAATCAACGCGAAAAAGTCAGACGGCTCCATTTGTTTAATTTTGCAAAAAGATGCCAATCGTCTTGTGTAAATCCTAAAGGAATCAATTTTATAATGGCGTTCTCTTTTACTGGCAAACATGTCACAGCCGTTTGGACAAATCTGTTTTATCAGCGCGAATTTTACTAGTTTTCCACATGGTAAAATGTCTGCATTTTTTGTAATTTACCTCTTCAAATTTCGATTCATAGAAATCAGGTTCCCACCTCTGATTTGACAATGAGATGTTGTCAAATGAAATTTCTTTGAAAAATTGTAAACATAGCGTACTTCTGAGCGCTCCCAAAAATGTTTTAACCTAAAAGAAACACTATATTTTATAAGTTGTATACCACGGTAGAAAAATACGACCAGTTGCATCGACACAGCTGTTGTCAAACCAATTTTGGAATTGAAAATTTTGAATGAAAATTATTGAAATTTGTAAAAGTTGTTGAAAAACAACCTCCGATTGGCGTCGTATAAGAAAACATATTAAAATTTACATATTTTTGAAAAAAAAAAAATTTAAATAAAAAATCTGACGTACCAAAGTTCCCAAGCGTTGATGCATCTACCTGTATTCTTCTACCATGATACCCATAAATTATTTAAGGAAAATTCGTTAAAAAATAATATCCAGATCTTCTCGTTCAAATTTGAACGAATTGCAAAAATTAAACTAATAAATTTGAAACTCAAAAAGAGTCAAATCACAATGACTGGGCCTTGACTAATACTATATTTTTGTACACGTGTACAAAATGAAATTTGTCATTGATTCTCTTCATTTTTATTAAATCCATAAGCTATGACGTTTAGAACAGTCCTTATCATAAATAATAACGATTATAATATTAGTTATTTCTCATTGTGTAGGCAACAGGTAAAAAGTACCTGATACTAAGCAAGTTATTATCGCGATATAAATAAATTCATGTAGTCATTGACCATGACAATTATTCACTCAATAATTTTGTAGATATTTTTGATTTAATTACATTAATTATATTAATTGCAAAGAACATTTAGAGAGTAATATGTAATATCGAATGCATGTGAGTAATTTCATTTGAAATAAATCTACGATTTAAAGTATCACTTTAAAAAAAGCTAAATAAGATTTAAATTGGCCTGATTTGATGATTTTTTGCAAAAAAAATCTGGTTACAGATCCCTGCCAAATCCACTAATCCAACCAAATGGTACTATACGAGTCACAGAAAAGCTTATGAAAATACATATCCAACATGTGGTGGGGTTCTGGTGTTATAGCCATATTAATAATCAATTCGAATTTTGCCAAATAAGTATTTTATTGCTTACATCCAATTTAAAAACAACACGAGCCAATTTTCTCCCCAAAAATACCCTTTGAGAATATCTCATATCGTACGCATTACGTCAATAAATACTTACAGCTGACGTCGAAGACAATTAAATGTAACACTTTAGGTGAAAGCTTCTCAAAAAAAAACACAAAATTTATAACATCGTTGTGTGGCTTTTCTAAAATTCCCCCTTTATTTTTAATATTGAATCGACATTATCTAGCATTTTTATCATAATTTCTAATAACTGTTGTTGTGGTTGTTTCTGTAATATCATTCATTAATGTTTTTGTTTAAACATTTTGGCAAGAAAATGACCCCCTCAGGATAAGGAGACTAGAATAGATTATAAGTGGAAAGGGGATTTTTTTTCGAAAAAATATGGACACACTCTTTTGATATCAGGACAAATGAAAATAAAATCCAACTAGATTTTTAGATAACAGAAAAAACATGTGCCCTTTTTATGAATTGCATGTGTGGGGTATTTTTTATTATTCCTATTATATATTTCAATTTATTTTTATGTGCCACACTCGTAAATTCTCAGCAAGGAAAATAACTAAGTGGTTCGCCTACCAGTATCGTAAATTAATTACAAAGTTATTTAATAATTTTGTAATAAACGAAAAGATACAGATATATTTTTTTGTTTAAATATATTTATTAGAATTTATAACAATGTGTATGTTCAAATAGTAAACTACATAGTATTTTATATATATGAAGTTATATAAATGTTTAAATATATTGCTTACATCACAATTATAGGTAATTTTTTATACAAAATACAATTTATATACGGCTGACATAGGATATGATTTATGTTCATAATTTCTTTTTTTGGTAATTTCAAATTACATGATTGACTTGAGTTATTTGATTTCTTATTCGTTGAAATGTTAATGCAAACATCTTGAAAATGTGAACAAATATTCAAAAGCACAACAATACGACTTGAGCACATATGAATATCCATAGATTAGTTTGGTTAGGGACATATAAAAGAAAATAGGTATATAAATTATAGCAATAAAAAAAGCAGAAAGTTAAATAAAAGGTATATATATTAATAGAGAGTACTAGGTTTCATTCCTTAAAACATGCATTATTACGTAGTAAAGTTTTCTCTTAGAGATGTTGACTTTTTAAGTATTCGAATGTGACAAAAGATCGATTTTACTGGAGATTCTTAGTCCGGACTGTGTGACCAACATTATTTATTCAATCCACTGAAAACAAAAATAGAACAAGTTATCAACCACTTGAAAATGATAATTTGTTTTTTTTTTAATATTTTTTTCTTTTTGTAAAAGGCTTTTGTTTCGTTGAGATTCTTATGAGCATTAATATAGCCTATTTACAGACTTTTTAAGATTATATAGATGTAATTTTTTAAAAAAATAGAGTTTGAGTCAATTATTTATTACATTTCAGATATAATGCATGTTTAAGGAAAAAAATAACTTTTTTATACCCTCCACCTTTGTAACATCCCTAAATATTCGTCGTAGACCCCATAAAGTATATATATTCATAATCAGCATAAAATTCTAACGATATCCGTCTGCCTGTTGAAATCAAGATACAGTCCAAATTTAGCAGAACAATTTGTATTGTGTCTAGGACGGTTGGTATTGAAAATGTGATATATCGGTCCACGTTTTGGTATAGTCGCCATATAACGGTACCTCCCGATATGCGGTATTTTGATGATTTTTGCCACATTTTTTTTCAAGGAATTGTCTGAAAATTGGCATTTGTAGGTCATAATGGGTCCTAGTTCGTGTGGCGAAATATTGTATGTATAGCCCCCATATAACGGTACCTCCCGAATATCGGTATTTTAATGATTTTTGCCACATTTTTTCACGGATTTGTCTAAAAATTGGTATTTGTTGGTCAAAATAGGTTCTGGCTGCGGTGGCGAAACATTGTATGTTTAGGTCCACGTTTTGGTACAGCTCCCATATAACGTTACTTCCAGGTATTCGGTATTTTGATAATTTTTGCCACATTTCTTCGCGGATTTGTCTAAAAAACGTTACTTCCAGGTATTCGGTATTTTGATAATTTTTGCCACATTTCTTCGCGGATTTGTCTAAAAATTACTATTTGTGTGTTTTAATTGGTTCTAGCTCCGTTGGCGAAACATTGTATGAATAGGTTCACGTTTTTGTCTAGCCCCATATAGCGGTACCTCCCAATATTCGATATTTTGATGATTTTTCCCACATTTTCCCACGAATATGTCTAAAAATTGGTATTTGTGAGTCATAATGGGTTCTAATGTTTTCTTAACTCTAAGGAGAAGAGTATTAATATTTTTTACTTGTAGGCATTCTACATATAAAAAGACTATGTTATTCCTTCCTTAATTTGTGGGCCTTCCATAGATAAAAGCTAGCCTTTTCATGTATTTTGCAAAGGGAAACCCTTTACAGGTCTTATACAAACACTATTTTTGTGGGTTAATCACACGACTTTGTTGCACATCTTTTAAAGATAGAGGCCCAATTCACGCGAATATTTTTGGTTGGTTACATATAACAGTGCTTTTAGGAGATTCCCACGAATATGTCTAACACATTTTCCCACGAATATGTCTAAAAATTGGTATTTGTGAGTCATAATGGGTTCTAATGTTTTCTTAACTCTAAGGTGAAGAGTATTAATATTTTTTACATGTAGGCATTCTACACATAAAAAGACTATGTTATTCCTTCCTTAATTTGTGGGCCTTCCATAGATAAAAGCTAGCCTTTTCATGTATTTTGCAAAGGGAAACCCTTTACAGGTCTTATACAAACACTATTTTTGTGGGTTAATCACACGACTTTGTTGCACATCTTTTAAAGATAGAGGCCCAATTCACGCGAATATTTTTGGTTGGTTACATATAACAGTGCTTTTAGGAGATTCTATTATTATGAGGAAGTTTTTTTATAAATAATTTGAATTGAAGAACCTGTTAGGGCCTGTATGGATCTTTGAGAGACCTACAGGTCTTTCGAAATATAATTTAAGCATATGTAAGTTTTTAAGGATATGTTTCATTTTATGTAAAGATAATAGAAATTAATAAAAAATATATAGGTTAGTTTACGGCACATCTACTGCAGGTACTACGCTATGATTTTAAACAAATTACTCTATGCAGGAAAATAAATTCGCAAAGTCTTAGTATTTTAATGAATAAATGTTATGAAAACATTTAGTACTTCCTAAGACGAAACATAAATTCTACTATAAATCCCACTACATACAGAGATGGAGTAATGCGAAAGATAGATCAACAAAACAAAAGCCATAAACCAAACAAAAACAAAAATAAAAGTGTGATTTTAAAATAGAATTGTATAGAAAGCAATGAAAATTATAATTACACTTGACAATGGTGTCTCCGAACTGCCGCTGCCGCCATGGGTCATCTCGTGTATGTCTTCACTGGTGTGATGTTCTGCCTTGATTGAAAGTAAAAATTCAGCCGTTACTGGTTTATGATCTGACAGTGTATATTGAGGATGGGATTTATATGACAATTGCTCCAGTTCCAATTTAATATCAGGATATTTATTTTCCTCAACACGGTACAATATACGATCGCACCATGCAGGGCGACGCTTTAAATCATACTCTGATGTGCCTTCGGTGTATTTAAAGGTGGGACGGAATGTTGGTTTCTGTTCAGTCATTAATGAGAATGCATTGCCTGCTTCGCGTACCATTTGCAATTGGTCACGCGTAAAGAGATCATCCAAATGACCCAATTCAACTTCAGCTTTAACTTCTTCGGCCGTGTCATGACCATTTAAACGGAAATTTAAGTCTCCAAACCAAAAGACAAAATCATGATCGAAAATGGTGCGATAATTTCTAACTTTATAATGATGATTGTCCAATATTTGATTATAGTCGATAACTCGTTCCTTGAGATGTTCATCGTGAGCAGCCAAATGGGCCACCACAAAAGTAACGCCACTACCATAGAGGCTCATACGTACACTAGCAGCACCCTTATTACCCCATAGGCCGCCCAATCCTACTTTGGTGGTCTCCGTTTCTATGTTATTTATATTGCTAATGTGCTTTCCCAGTGACCAAACATTTATCAATATGCCTTGCAACTGGGCAGTTTCTACTTTTACGTAATCCTGGTCCGATAGAAATTCGCGTACCTTCAAAGTCCATTGATTATCTTGAAATATGTTGAGAAACTGATTTTTGGGTTTGACATTGACCTCCTGGAAGCCCAGAACATAGAGATCAGGTCGTTTATCTTCTCCCGGACACATAGAAGTTCCGTTAAGCGCCAGCATATCGGTTAAATTGACATCCTCCGGGTAGTTGGTACCGACATTCCACGTTAATATATAAATACATAATTCTGCAATAACTGAAGTGGCCACCATAGTTCTGCTTTATGGAGGGTTCCTATTGTTTGGCACTGTTGTTTGTGGGTAAATCACACAGTTCTTAGAAAATACTGTCTGTGTCACACTCTATAAAATAGAAATGTCGTGTTATTGTTTGTTTGTTCAATAAACCTGTTTTCTGCGTTGGTATTACCTCCAAAAATAAAAATTCCAAAAATACTTAAGGCCAAATATGTTGTGAAGGTTACAGGTACTATTTTGTAATATATTTGCTAGTAGTAAATTTGTAAATTTTATCTTTCTTTATCTTCTTGCACATCGGGATTTTCCTGAGATTCGATGACCGTCCAGCATAGAGGTAAGTTATTATTTATATATTTTATTTGCTTATTTATTTATTTCATGGCCCAATTATACTATAAGGTCTTCCTTCGAGCGAATTATTCTAAAAACAGCTGTTATTTTACTACATGAAATGTCAAAATTAATGCTTGAGGCGAAAATAAATATTTCGCTTTGACAGAAGAATTTTGTGGCGAATACGTTAGCTGTCAATTTTTATATATAAGACGTGGTAGAAAAATACAGGTAGACGCATCGGCGCAGTTGCTGGGATAATGAACTGACAAACTGAAATTAAAAATGTTGAATGAAAAATTTTTAATATTTGTAAAAATTGTTGAAAAATGCATATCATAACAACCTCCGTTTGGTGCCGTATAAGAAAACTTATAAAATGTACTTATTTAAAAACAAAACATTTTAACAATTTTGACATATCAATGTTGATGCATCTACCTATATTCTTCTAGCATGGTATAAAAGCTCTACTGCATTGTAGATATGTAAAAATTTTTAATTTTTTAAATAAGTAAATTTTATAAATGTTCTTATACGACACCAACCGTAGGTTGTTGATATGTATTTTTTACACAATTTTTGAAATTTGAATAACTTTTCATCTAAAATTTTCAATTTAAAAATTGGTTTGACAGTTCATTGTCCCAACAGCTATGCGATGCGACTACCTGTATTCTTCTACTATAGTTTTGAAGTTTGTTTTGGTTTGTTTTGTTTCGTGTGGTAATCATGATTTATTTTTTATAATTGGATTTATTGTAGGGATAGGTAAGTCGAATTCGAATAATCGACCTATTGTACTCTATGTTCGAACTCGACTATGGACTTGGGTAAAAACCGAGTACTCGAATATTCATAGTCGATTTCAAATTCCTGTTCAACTAATAGTTGTGTTCCAGAACCTGCAAATTAGAACTAATTAGCGCTAATTCTGCTACAACGCGTTCCCGTACGCCAAAAACTAGCAAAACTTGCAGCTCTCTCGAGAAAAAAATGGCGCTGAGTGGTGCACATTTCTACTTGTTTTAGCTACATGAATTTGGCCGAGCAGAAATGTGCATATTGTAAATTTGACATTTGATTGGCAGGGCTAACAAGGTTGAAAAATGTATTGATACATTTCAATAAAGAAAATGATCAACTTGAAAACTAAAGGAAAAACTAATATTTGTCGTGCAAAAAACAAAAAGAGAAAATATGGAGCAACTGATGTATTCACTTTTGGATGATTCCAGCAGTGAAGAGGACTGGCAGAATGAGGAATCAGATTATAAATTACTATTATAAATTATTAATTTTAACTTATCGTCTCAATACTAATTTTTTAAGTGTTGGCGCCCTTTTCAGTAAGGTTTCACCAGTCCGATTTAGGCTGTTTACTTTTGGAATTTTGAATTTTGACATTTTATCGCATTTCTGCTAATTTTCCGTTCCCTTATTTTTTGAGCAAACCTAAATGAGAATGACATTTCGAACTGTTCTCTCTTCTGCTAGTTTTACTACTAAAAAAGTACTGGAACACAACTAATGTGTCCTGTTCAACTTATGGTCTGTTCCAGAGCTGCAAGAATGTAAAAGTTTTTACTATGATAACCATGATAACCAATTTTCCCTTTATGTCACGTCAATCATTAACAAACGATCTTCGCCTTAACAAGGCAGAACTCAAAACAATCTATTTTAGTTTTTAGTAACAATTATCATTTATGATAAATCCGTTAAAAAAATCTGTTAAAATATTAAAAATACCGAATGTAGCTCTCATATTAGGGTTTATACGGCGACATGGACTTGGGGCTCAATTCTTGTTCTATGAAAATGTGAAATGAAAACTTTTATAAAGGAAAAAAATGTCAAATGAAAATTTGTATAAAGAAAATATATTTCATTTCATGTTTTCATAGAACATAGGTAGCATAGGTAACTTTTGTCATAAGCCATTACAATATTCAAATGCGAAACTAATAAAAAAAAAACAGTGAATAATGTAGCTAAAATCATCAAAATATCGAATATCGGGAGGTATCGTTATATGGGGGTTATACGAAAACCTTGACCTGCACAGACAATTTTCTGTCTTAGGCTGTAGTATCCATTACGAACTTTAAATATCAAATTTGAAACAATTCCGGATAATAATGTCGCTAAAATCATCAAAATACCGAATATCGGGAGGTACCGTTATATGAGAGGTTATATTAAAACGTGGACCTACATGGCCCATTTTCAATACCACAAGTCCTGCAGATATAATACACATTTGAGTATAATTTTATCGACCTACTTCATTTTGTTCGAAAGCTAGAGTGATTTCCACAGACGGACGGACATCGCACTTCTTGCTGATGAAGAATATATATACATTGTGGGGTCTAAAATGAGTATTTCGAAATGTTACAAACGGAATGACAACTTAATAAAAGCTATGATGGAAGGTATAAAAATGAAAAAATAGTAAAAGTGAGAATTGTTAAATTCGTTCCATGGTAGAAGAATATAGGTAGACGCGTCGACACAGCTGTTGGGACAGTAAACTGTCAAACCAATTTTGGAATTGAAAATGTCGAATGAAAAATTATTTAAATTTGTAAAAATTGTTGAAAATCGCGAATTTTAATAGCCTCCGAATGATACAGTATAAGAAAACGTATAAAAATGTACTTATATTTGAAAAAACACTTAATTTTTTTCTGACATATCAATGCTCTCAAGCGTTGATGCATCTCCTCACCTCATTCTTCTGCCATGATTCGTTCTGAAGCTGGGAATATATAAAGCGCATATTTGGCTGGCTTCTTCGGAAATGAACATAGGAGCCTAGGGCCAAAATCGAACTAGGTCAACCTAAAACTCCTTTGTTCATCTACGAAGAAGCCAGCTGATGACTTAAGGGTTTTTGAAGAAGGCGGGCAGTTTACAGTCAATTTTATTTGAAATTCAGTTGCCTTAATTAAATTTCTTTACTGTCTTATATCATTTATTATGGTCTGATTAAGGTCTGGTATGGAGTCGTTCCCTAAGAATTTATGTATTTCCAGCCTGAGAATACAGCTTTGTTTTGAAAGCACAGGAACAAAAAGGAACAAAAAAGTATTTAAAATTTTAAGCCTAGATTATAATTCTCAAAAATCAAACTATAAGCCAATACGAGGTTGGCAATCATACAGCCAAATTTGTCACAAATTTTAAACGTTCTTCATGTTTTGAAACGGTGTTAAAATACAAATTTTACAAATAGTACAAATATTCCAGATTCTGGAACAGAACTTATGATATGCTCTCGTATATAATTGAAGCATTCACTGAGAATGGTTGGTTTTGTTTGTCAGCAGTCAATGAAATTGTTTGACAGCTTTATTTGTGTTGTTTTGCTTGAAAATTGGTTGGTTGAAACATTCAAAAGTTTGTGTGGAATTAGCTTGGAAAGCAATTTAAATTTCGTAATTTATTTAAATCCCACAAAGTTGCAATTACTTTTCACATTATTTCTTTTGAATCATGTACAAATTCCAATTGATATAGGGCCGAAGTAAATTAAACATTGGGGTGTTTGTTTTAAAACAAAAAAATCAACGAATTATGACGTAGTCGTGATAGATGGTGCAAAACTACAAAATTTTCCATTATAGTTGAAGGCGATCAAAAAATTATTATACAAGATTTCTATTAAAGGTGATATTTTTCACCGCCAAATCAAAGGAAGTCTATAGAGTAGCGCATATTATTCATTTATCCGGAATACAGTTTATTTGAACTTTTGCACTCGGGTAACCTACGTGCAAAATTTATTTTTAGCACAGCCCGTAATCAAACTTACCTACAGACGACAACGACGATTGCCGTGCGGTTTTGGGGATAAACAAAAACAATTGCAACAAGGTATGTTAGAAACAAATTTGTTTGTTATGTGACATTGTTTGCTCATACATTTTGTTTGTTTTCCTTTCCTTCTTTATGAGGTCTTAAGTGTCACTTCTTTTGATCATGGAGGCATATGTAAATGTGTGACTTGTTGCTTCATTTCAGTTTCACTACTGCTTGGCTTTACAGCATTTTGGTGTTTGTCAAAATGCTTCCCAGAGGCATTGAATTGGTAAAAATTTTGCATACTAAACAGAATATATTGAACCTTAGAACTGTGTGTCATTTTCGTAAACAATTATGGCCCGGTTACCGGGAGCTCGACTCTCCGAAAGCCATCAAAAATATATACTTCGCACAAAGACTGTATGCGTCGAAAGATAAGGTATGTATAATTAAGATCAAAGATCGATATAACAATAATTATTCATCAATTAACTCCTCATAAGGTTAGTTATTCATAGCAATAGATAAGTTATTAACAACATTAAAGAACAAGAATTCGAACTTGAATGCGCCATCAATGTGAACCCCGAACTTTTGAAGTGGTCGTTCTTATTGTGTATGGAAGAAAAACCATTTACTTTTTGGGCAGTCTTAATATGACTACTAAAGTAGCATCATTACACCTTATGTAGTGTCCAGAAAATACCTATACCAAATCCGTAAATAGGGCTTAAACATTGCTGCATAAATCCCACTTATTACAATTTCGGTGCAATTTTCCGACCAATTTCACATTTATCCTTCTTAAATGCTATCCAATATCTCCGTACTATACTCTCCAAATTATTTCAAATCTATTTAGAAGAATATACAAGTCCCATACTCTTATTTTAGCCGGTTTCAAATTTAGTTTACACAAAGTCCTACCATAATTTAAAATAATTTTATTTTTTCATTTTGCTCTTCAGGTCATTGCATCCCCGCCCGCTACCACACAAACATCAGCAGCTGCAGCATCACCACAAACGACAAAAACCAAAACAACCACAAAGACAGCCACAGAGCCGAAATCTGCGAAAGAAAAATCGGACGAAACGCCAACAAAAGATGGAAAATCGTCTAAAGGATCTGTGGCCGCACAAACCAAAAAATATGAAATTGAAACATCCAAAGGCATACTATCCATTACAACCACCATAGAGGATTCGAAAATAAACGACATTGTATTTGAAAAATCAAAAGTGGCCAAAGATACCACCACATCAAAAGAGACTGTAAAATCTGCTGCATCACCACCTCCAACGGCAGATGAAATTATGAATAAGGCAGCCAAGGGGGCTGCTAATGTGACAGAGGCTAAAATTGATGCAGCAAAATTGGATGCTGCCACCAAAAAAATGTTGGCAACAAAAGCGGCCGAGGCAAGCAGTGGTAAAATACTTAGCATTGACATGACCGCGACATCACAAGCTGCAACTATAGCACCTGCGGCAACGGCGGAATCATCTACTCCTACACCAATACCTGAAGTTAAGCCAAAACCGGTAAGGATTAAACCTTTATGCAAATATCAACTATTTAACAAATTATTTTATTTTTTTAGAAACGGGCTAAAATGGATTACAATCGTTCTTCATTGGAACGTAATTTTATTACCCCAGCTCGTGCCATGAGTGATTTTTTGCTGAAAGCCTCCGATTTGGAAACATTGCCCAAAATCAAACGACGTTCACCATATGAACAGGAGCCACCGATAACTGTGTTTTGGCGCAAAGACGTTGAAGCCAAGGCCATTAATATTTGGGGAACAAAGGAGAATCTCATTAAAGAGTGCCTGAAACGTGAAGTGGAACGTAAAAAACATCAGCAAAGTACAGTACCCAAAGAACCTTATAGACAAAGTGATTATAATCAACTAAATTTGTTTAGATATTTTTACTGTAAAAAGAAGGCTTCGAGACTATAGAAGAGAAATTGGCTCAAGAACGGCAGTGTATGATGATGAGCCTGGACTAAAAGGGAAATCGGGAAAAGTTGTTCTAATTGCCATTGGCATGTATGTCAGAAACATGGTTTTTTGAGTTCACAACTTAATTTCTTGTCTTCTTCTAGCAATGGATTAAACTTTCTTTTCAAGGTTGGTGGCTGGTTGTATTCAGGTTCTCACAGTATGTTTGCCGAAGCCATACATTCATTGGCAGATACGATAAATCAACTGATCTTGGCCTATGGCATACATAAATCTACACAAATGGCCGATTCAGATCATCCTTATGGTTATGCCAATATGAAATATGTTTCTTCGCTTATATCAGGTGTTGGTATATTTTGCGTAGGTACTGGTTTGTCATTCTATCATGGTATAACGGGCTTGATGAATCCCGAACCCATGGAAGACTTCTTTTGGGCATTTTTCATATTGGGTGGTTCGTTAGTTTCGGAGGGTGCCACACTTCTGGTGGCCATGAATGAAGTGCGGCGTTCGGCGAAATTAAAAGGCATATCCTTTAAGGAATATGGTGTGTAAAGAAAACAATTTCTAAGTTTTAAAGGAAATTAATTGTATAAAACTTTGCAGTTCTTACTGGCAAGGATCCCTGTGTAAATGTAGTATTAACAGAAGATGCTGCAGCTGTGGCCAGTGTGGCTGTAGCTGCCGGTTGTATGGGTCTATCTACCATAACCGGTTCACCCATATATGATGCAGTTGGTTCTCTTCTGGTGGGTAGTATATTAGGAGCTGTGGCCTCATTCATCATCTACACCAACGTGGCGGCTTTGGTGGGAAAGTAAGTAACGCTATTTTGAATGTTATTTAAAAAAAATAATCAATTTTACATTACAGATCCATACCTCATGAACACTTGGAACGCATTAATGGCGAACTTGAAAGTGATGTTATGATTAGAGCGATCCATGATGTCAAGGGTATTGATATGGGAAATTCATTGGTAAGATATAAGGCTGAAATGGATTTTGATGGCAGAGAATTGACACGATCTTATTTGGATAAACAAGATCTCAACGAATTGCTAAAGGTATTTTCAGAACATTTATAAAATAAAATAACACTATATGAAATTTTATCCATCTAGGTTGTCAAGTCATTCCAATCAACCGAAGAATTGGAACAATTCTTATTAAATCATGGAGAAAATATTGTCGATTTAATGGGCGGTGAAATCGATCGCATTGAAATGAAGCTTAGGGTATGTCTAAATTTTTCATTATACGTGAATATATCAAAATAACGATTTTACCTTCTCCTTGCAGAAAAAATTCCCTGAAATCCGTCACTGTGATTTGGAGATACTTTAAGCTATTTATAATATTTTGTAAACTCCTACAGAGTTTACAATTTACGGCTCCTTAGCATTATTTATCTATCAATGGCTGTAAGCGTAGAGTTCTTTAAGAGAAAAACAAATTTCTGTCTATACTCCGAGTTTGTGTTCCGAAATCCTTGTGCGGAAAAATTTATATGATTTAAATTATTGATATTTAAACAAAAAGAAATTGTTGCATATACATATTTTTGTTTTCTGCTAAAAGAAGTTACAAATTATTCTAATCGATTTTAAATTAACTTGCAACTCCACAAGTGCAAGTTAATTTTAAAATCTCTAGATTATATATTTATTTTACATTAGATGTGTTTTTTGTATATCTAAAGCTTGAAAAGTTTCATGTTTGTATAAAAAAAGAAAATAATTTAATAAACAAAAAATAAATAAATATAGGATTATATGAAGTTTTAATTATAACATTTTCTTATTTAACCATAAGTGACATTAACAAAAATTGCAGAACTTTTGGCTTCTTGCAGGTTCTGATATCGAAACATCTATTTTTTAATTTCCAGACTTAAAATTCCCTAAGAGTTCGGGTGCAATTTCAAAGATACGTGGGTTTTTATTATTTTCATAAATTTACTTTATTATTTTCCAAAAAATCCTTATTTAGCCTTCTTTTTTCTTGCTCCGCCACCACCTCCCCGACTGGTTTGTGGTAAATCACCCGTTTTTTGCATTCGCCCTACTTGCATGTCCTTCAATTTAGCTTGCAGTTTCTTTTTGGCCTTTTCCAGTTCCTCTTCTTGCTTGACAGTTTTTACCGGTTTGGGATGTAGGAATTGTTTTCTTTCCGTCTTCTTTGCCGCCTCTCCACATCCATGTACTTCGGGCAATCCATGTTTAAAGCAATATCTTTTTTGGCAATGTTCACAATTTTGTCCCATAAGACTTGTCTTTGCTTTGCAACGGGAATAATCACACAAATTGTCTACATCTTTAACAGCTGTTAGGACATCGTCCAATTTCATTTCCACAACTTTGCTGGGTATTTTCTCAAGCAGTTCCAGTGTATTGTTGGTTCCATAATCAGGCTTTTTACCGGGCTTAGCGGGAGGAAATAACGGAGGCTCTGAAGGTGTCTGTGCGTTTGCTGTTGTGTCCGTTGGTGATACTTCATTGGATTTTTGACTATTTTCTTGAAAACACAAAACATTTAATCAGAAAATGTGAAAATATTTATATATAACTATTAAAATTTTGTTTTTATTTACCTGACATTTTCCCAGCAATTTGTTTACTCTATTTAATCGGGATTAAAGTATTGTACACATCAATGAACGCCAATGTAATTTTGTTTTATTTATCGGATAGCCGCTAAAGCATTATTTGTGAACCTTAATTAATGAAATTAAAGTATTTTTCCAGGTTTTCTAATCACACCTACCTACTCCTACGCTACGAAGTTTATTTGCCTACAATTACTAAAACTTTTTGTAAGAAATGGGAACATACTCGTAAATGTGTACGCCACTTAATAATCAAATGACTGACATTAGATTTGAGGTTATACCTTTAATTGTAGCGCAAGGTGTGGGACGAATGGCAAAAGTCTTTCTTTTCTTTGCAATTGATTTTCAGAACGTAAATAATTTATGAAAGATCGAGAAGATTGTGGCTATAAACTGAGGAAATGCTCAACAAATTGTAGTAATTAAATACAATAATTACAATTCGATATTTCTTTTAAATTATAAATATTATAGTAATATTGTATAACGAATCGACATTGAGAATGGAAATACTGTAGGGTATTCCTCAATGTTATGCATATAGCGACAGCTGATTTTTGCAATGTCTTCTAAACAATAAATAAAAGTTTCTTCCATCCATCAGCAGTTCGTTTCATCAACAGTGATAAAAATATGATACTAAAGAGATTAAATTGTTCTCTGTATGTCCTCAGTAAACATACATTAGGATCATTAATACCAAAGCGACACCAAAGCACAGTGCAGTATGTACAAGGACAAGAACCGGAACCAAAAATACGTGAATATTTCTATTACATAGATCATGAGGGAATGGTAATTCGGGGCTAAAAGCTCTATGGCCAAAGAGATTTACTGATCACTGACTCTTTTTCAGCTCTTTTTAGATGATGCCAAAATGAAAAATTTCACCTCCTGTTTTAAGGAGAAAAAGTTTTTAAAATTCTTTTTCGATCGAGTTAAATTTAACGATACAAAACGTTATCGTTCCGAATTTCCTTACCTATCACCATGTGGCAGAGAACGTAATTTTATAAGATGCGATGACACTCCGATTGTTTTCACCCATGTAACAGAGAATTCAGAAGGCTTAGACAAGTTGTTATATAATCATGCTGGTGATGTTCTGCAAATTGATTTCGAGCCACAGAAAATATATATGAATCCCGAAACTGGAAGAGTATACCATCCATATTCCTTGGCAAAAGTTGGTTCTATAGGCTTAATACGTTCGAAACTCTCCATAGAATTGAGTAAATATTTTGAATTCGAAAATGGCGAACAACAGGGTCCGACACATATTTGGTGGAAGGATAAAAAACTTTTATTACAAAATAATTGGTTTTCTAGTACACAACGTTATGGTGTAAACTCTAACAGGGAAATACAATAGCCTAATTGACATTTAAAACATCAGCTTATATAGTCAGATACATTACATTTTGTTAATACATTTGTATAAAATTTGTAAAGTAAAAGAACTTTTGTATATATGCAATTCTTAATTAAATAATTGTGGTGATTAAAAGAAGTTTATACTAGTCCATGCTCAGGGGAACATATTCCCCCTCTTTCACCCATGAAAGACCTTTTGCACTAGAAGACGCTGCACTTGATGTGGTATTTGTCAATATTGGTTCCTTGCCCTCACGTATGCGCTGTTTAACGGGTCCATGAACTTCGTCATTAAATTGTTCAAACGCTATATAATGAGGATCGTCTGTAGGTGGTTCATCATAAAGATGCTCTTTGTTATTGGTAATACATTCCTTAACTTTGGCTATAAACCCGGCTCGATTTTGCATCAATAATTCAGCAGCTTCACTGTTTGGCCATTTGCCGTTTGGGCTATTCGTTGGCGTTCGCAGACATTCCAGAGGATCGATAAAAATTGCTTGTAAATATTTCAAAAGCTGCCAGATGTGATCTTCACCACAAAGCCACACTGGAAAGGCTTGGGTCAGATCTAATGTTCCAGTAAAGGGACATATCAGCGGATGATACATTTCATTTTGGAAAATAACTGTCTGAAAGTAGTACATTTTTTAGTTCGTTGTTATCATAGGTATCTATCTTATCTTACCGGCACAGTTTTATCTTCAGGAAATTTATCCGGAAGTGATATGTTAAAACGAAATATACCCTCCTCATACATGCCTTGTCTAACAAATATTACTCCATACCACACTGCAACAAATGGAATTAATGTTAATTAAAAAAATTAATGCTACTAACGAGAAACATACATAATGAATTAGCAAATGAAGGTATGACATATATGCCGCCCACTTTTTCCGATGCCACCATCTTACTAAAAGGAAAATGTAAAGAAATGTTAAATGTTGAGTATGTAGATGATTTGTAGAATAATTAACTTACTATTCTGCTAAGATTTTGTACTCTTGTTGTATAGTTGCTTGCACATCTTCGGGTACTGTATCCTGTGACATGTCTTTTGGAATTGATACAGTTTGGAATAGCTTAAAATATTGTAATTTTCTTGTTCATTTATGTTTTAATAACTTATCAACTTCTACATGTAAGCAAAAATCATGAGAATAAAAATAAATAAACGAACAGCTGATCTGTCAAAGTGAAACCAACCATTCATGGTGAATGCGCTAACACTGTAAAAGTGCATAGTTGTATTCTAGACCCAGGAAGTTTCTACTAATACTTTTGCACAAAAACCGATTCCGTATTTCAAAATGTTCATGTCTCTGTTAAAAATAATTGAGATTTATTTCACTCTTGTATGCTATTTTTAGAATATTTACACCACAAATTTGGGCATGTATAAGTGGTCATTGGGCATGTACAATCTGTCATGAATAAAAACCACTTGCTAATAACCATGGCAGAAGAATACAAATCAAGGCTTGGGAGCATTGATTTGTCAAAGAAATTTAAATGTTTTTTCAAATATAAGTAGATCTTCATATGTTTTCTTATACTACGTCATTAGGAGGCTATTATAATTCGCGTTTTTCAACAATTTTTACAAATTTAAATACATTTTCATTTAACATTTTCAATTCCATAATTGGTTTGACAGTTCATTGTCCCAACAGCTGTGTCGATGCGTCTACCTATTACTTCTACCATGCTAATAACGTAGTTATTGCAATTCTGTCAGTTACAGATATTTTTAGAAATTTGAAAAAATACGTCCCACCTTTTATTCAAATTATTGTCGTTAATGCATAATTTCTTTTTTTAGAATAGAGCCGTTGAAGTCTATATACAAAATTAAATTAAAAATTTTCTGTTTATTAAATACAATTTGCACAAATTTATTTCATTGTTATGAAATATTAAGAAAAAGTACATGACATGATTTCGTTCAGATTCGATCTTTAATTTGTCCAATCATTTCAAAGCAAGTTTCATGATTGGAATAATCCGAGAAATATTTTTTTGTCGGCTCTAGGCTCGATTATTGATCTTCGGGAATATCAAAAATATTCTGAACGTGAAGCACATTTTTGTTAAAAATTGTTTTCCATATTATCGTATTCGAATTTATACGATTTATAATATCCGGTACAAAATACGGGTTTTCGAAATTTTGGACCAAAATTATCGTTATAATCTACATCGGAATCTAAATTAAAAATGTGTAGCAAAAGTTAAATTTAACAAAGATAACAAACAAGACAAAAAATAGATAATTCAACAATTCAAATTTAACAACAAAAACAAAACAAGAAAACTTTATTTAAAACGAAAAAAACATCAATGTCCACCATAAAAAAACAAACATAGGTACTAGCATGGTACATGGCAAGGTAGATCTAACAGGTAACCGCATCGGCGAATTGCTACAACAAAGCAACTTTTGTGGTCCCCTCAAATGTCAAAATTGGCATCTAAGGCGAAAAACATAGATTCGCCATGACATTTAAAAGTTGCGGCAAATTTGTTTCAACCAATCAGAAACGAGGTGTTTGTTTACATTTTATTTTGTGTCCCTCTCGTCGTAAACGAACGTCGCAATAAAAGTTTTTATTGTAAAACAAATAAGAGTAAAATAAGTATTAATTGTAGTATTGCGATTTTTTTAAACAAAGAAACTTATAATGACTATATTTTACTGGTTTAAACCGAAAGTTTTCCGGAACTGCAAATGACAAGAGTCTAATTCTTGCACTACTTCCCGTGGCGGCTTTGGTGGGAAAGTAAGTAACGCTATTTTGAATGTTATTTAAAAAAAATAATCAATTTTACATTACAGATCCATACCTCATGAACACTTGGAACGCATTAATGGCGAACTTGAAAGTGATGTTATGATTAGAGCGATCCATGATGTCAAGGGTATTGATATGGGAAATTCATTGGTAAGATATAAGGCTGAAATGGATTTTGATGGCAGAGAATTGACACGATCTTATTTGGATAAACAAGATCTCAACGAATTGCTAAAGGTATTTTCAGAACATTTATAAAATAAAATAACACTATATGAAATTTTATCCATCTAGGTTGTCAAGTCATTCCAATCAACCGAAGAATTGGAACAATTCTTATTAAATCATGGAGAAAATATTGTCGATTTAATGGGCGGTGAAATCGATCGCATTGAAATGAAGCTTAGGGTATGTCTAAATTTTTCATTATACGTGAATATATCAAAATAACGATTTTACCTTCTCCTTGCAGAAAAAATTCCCTGAAATCCGTCACTGTGATTTGGAGATACTTTAAGCTATTTATAATATTTTGTAAACTCCTACAGAGTTTACAATTTACGGCTCCTTAGCATTATTTATCTATCAATGGCTGTAAGCGTAGAGTTCTTTAAGAGAAAAACAAATTTCTGTCTATACTCCGAGTTTGTGTTCCGAAATCCTTGTGCGGAAAAATTTATATGATTTAAATTATTGATATTTAAACAAAAAGAAATTGTTGCATATACATATTTTTGTTTTCTGCTAAAAGAAGTTACAAATTATTCTAATCGATTTTAAATTAACTTGCAACTCCACAAGTGCAAGTTAATTTTAAAATCTCTAGATTATATATTTATTTTACATTAGATGTGTTTTTTGTATATCTAAAGCTTGAAAAGTTTCATGTTTGTATAAAAAAAGAAAATAATTTAATAAACAAAAAATAAATAAATATAGGATTATATGAAGTTTTAATTATAACATTTTCTTATTTAACCATAAGTGACATTAACAAAAATTGCAGAACTTTTGGCTTCTTGCAGGTTCTGATATCGAAACATCTATTTTTTAATTTCCAGACTTAAAATTCCCTAAGAGTTCGGGTGCAATTTCAAAGATACGTGGGTTTTTATTATTTTCATAAATTTACTTTATTATTTTCCAAAAAATCCTTATTTAGCCTTCTTTTTTCTTGCTCCGCCACCACCTCCCCGACTGGTTTGTGGTAAATCACCCGTTTTTTGCATTCGCCCTACTTGCATGTCCTTCAATTTAGCTTGCAGTTTCTTTTTGGCCTTTTCCAGTTCCTCTTCTTGCTTGACAGTTTTTACCGGTTTGGGATGTAGGAATTGTTTTCTTTCCGTCTTCTTTGCCGCCTCTCCACATCCATGTACTTCGGGCAATCCATGTTTAAAGCAATATCTTTTTTGGCAATGTTCACAATTTTGTCCCATAAGACTTGTCTTTGCTTTGCAACGGGAATAATCACACAAATTGTCTACATCTTTAACAGCTGTTAGGACATCGTCCAATTTCATTTCCACAACTTTGCTGGGTATTTTCTCAAGCAGTTCCAGTGTATTGTTGGTTCCATAATCAGGCTTTTTACCGGGCTTAGCGGGAGGAAATAACGGAGGCTCTGAAGGTGTCTGTGCGTTTGCTGTTGTGTCCGTTGGTGATACTTCATTGGATTTTTGACTATTTTCTTGAAAACACAAAACATTTAATCAGAAAATGTGAAAATATTTATATATAACTATTAAAATTTTGTTTTTATTTACCTGACATTTTCCCAGCAATTTGTTTACTCTATTTAATCGGGATTAAAGTATTGTACACATCAATGAACGCCAATGTAATTTTGTTTTATTTATCGGATAGCCGCTAAAGCATTATTTGTGAACCTTAATTAATGAAATTAAAGTATTTTTCCAGGTTTTCTAATCACACCTACCTACTCCTACGCTACGAAGTTTATTTGCCTACAATTACTAAAACTTTTTGTAAGAAATGGGAACATACTCGTAAATGTGTACGCCACTTAATAATCAAATGACTGACATTAGATTTGAGGTTATACCTTTAATTGTAGCGCAAGGTGTGGGACGAATGGCAAAAGTCTTTCTTTTCTTTGCAATTGATTTTCAGAACGTAAATAATTTATGAAAGATCGAGAAGATTGTGGCTATAAACTGAGGAAATGCTCAACAAATTGTAGTAATTAAATACAATAATTACAATTCGATATTTCTTTTAAATTATAAATATTATAGTAATATTGTATAACGAATCGACATTGAGAATGGAAATACTGTAGGGTATTCCTCAATGTTATGCATATAGCGACAGCTGATTTTTGCAATGTCTTCTAAACAATAAATAAAAGTTTCTTCCATCCATCAGCAGTTCGTTTCATCAACAGTGATAAAAATATGATACTAAAGAGATTAAATTGTTCTCTGTATGTCCTCAGTAAACATACATTAGGATCATTAATACCAAAGCGACACCAAAGCACAGTGCAGTATGTACAAGGACAAGAACCGGAACCAAAAATACGTGAATATTTCTATTACATAGATCATGAGGGAATGGTAATTCGGGGCTAAAAGCTCTATGGCCAAAGAGATTTACTGATCACTGACTCTTTTTCAGCTCTTTTTAGATGATGCCAAAATGAAAAATTTCACCTCCTGTTTTAAGGAGAAAAAGTTTTTAAAATTCTTTTTCGATCGAGTTAAATTTAACGATACAAAACGTTATCGTTCCGAATTTCCTTACCTATCACCATGTGGCAGAGAACGTAATTTTATAAGATGCGATGACACTCCGATTGTTTTCACCCATGTAACAGAGAATTCAGAAGGCTTAGACAAGTTGTTATATAATCATGCTGGTGATGTTCTGCAAATTGATTTCGAGCCACAGAAAATATATATGAATCCCGAAACTGGAAGAGTATACCATCCATATTCCTTGGCAAAAGTTGGTTCTATAGGCTTAATACGTTCGAAACTCTCCATAGAATTGAGTAAATATTTTGAATTCGAAAATGGCGAACAACAGGGTCCGACACATATTTGGTGGAAGGATAAAAAACTTTTATTACAAAATAATTGGTTTTCTAGTACACAACGTTATGGTGTAAACTCTAACAGGGAAATACAATAGCCTAATTGACATTTAAAACATCAGCTTATATAGTCAGATACATTACATTTTGTTAATACATTTGTATAAAATTTGTAAAGTAAAAGAACTTTTGTATATATATGCAATTCTTAATTAAATAATTGTGGTGATTAAAAGAAGTTTATACTAGTCCATGCTCAGGGGAACATATTCCCCCTCTTTCACCCATGAAAGACCTTTTGCACTAGAAGACGCTGCACTTGATGTGGTATTTGTCAATATTGGTTCCTTGCCCTCACGTATGCGCTGTTTAACGGGTCCATGAACTTCGTCATTAAATTGTTCAAACGCTATATAATGAGGATCGTCTGTAGGTGGTTCATCATAAAGATGCTCTTTGTTATTGGTAATACATTCCTTAACTTTGGCTATAAACCCGGCTCGATTTTGCATCAATAATTCAGCAGCTTCACTGTTTGGCCATTTGCCGTTTGGGCTATTCGTTGGCGTTCGCAGACATTCCAGAGGATCGATAAAAATTGCTTGTAAATATTTCAAAAGCTGCCAGATGTGATCTTCACCACAAAGCCACACTGGAAAGGCTTGGGTCAGATCTAATGTTCCAGTAAAGGGACATATCAGCGGATGATACATTTCATTTTGGAAAATAACTGTCTGAAAGTAGTACATTTTTTAGTTCGTTGTTATCATAGGTATCTATCTTATCTTACCGGCACAGTTTTATCTTCAGGAAATTTATCCGGAAGTGATATGTTAAAACGAAATATACCCTCCTCATACATGCCTTGTCTAACAAATATTACTCCATACCACACTGCAACAAATGGAATTAATGTTAATTAAAAAAATTAATGCTACTAACGAGAAACATACATAATGAATTAGCAAATGAAGGTATGACATATATGCCGCCCACTTTTTCCGATGCCACCATCTTACTAAAAGGAAAATGTAAAGAAATGTTAAATGTTGAGTATGTAGATGATTTGTAGAATAATTAACTTACTATTCTGCTAAGATTTTGTACTCTTGTTGTATAGTTGCTTGCACATCTTCGGGTACTGTATCCTGTGACATGTCTTTTGGAATTGATACAGTTTGGAATAGCTTAAAATATTGTAATTTTCTTGTTCATTTATGTTTTAATAACTTATCAACTTCTACATGTAAGCAAAAATCATGAGAATAAAAATAAATAAACGAACAGCTGATCTGTCAAAGTGAAACCAACCATTCATGGTGAATGCGCTAACACTGTAAAAGTGCATAGTTGTATTCTAGACCCAGGAAGTTTCTACTAATACTTTTGCACAAAAACCGATTCCGTATTTCAAAATGTTCATGTCTCTGTTAAAAATAATTGAGATTTATTTCACTCTTGTATGCTATTTTTAGAATATTTACACCACAAATTTGGGCATGTATAAGTGGTCATTGGGCATGTACAATCTGTCATGAATAAAAACCACTTGCTAATAACCATGGCAGAAGAATACAAATCAAGGCTTGGGAGCATTGATTTGTCAAAGAAATTTAAATGTTTTTTCAAATATAAGTAGATCTTCATATGTTTTCTTATACTACGTCATTAGGAGGCTATTATAATTCGCGTTTTTCAACAATTTTTACAAATTTAAATACATTTTCATTTAACATTTTCAATTCCATAATTGGTTTGACAGTTCATTGTCCCAACAGCTGTGTCGATGCGTCTACCTATTACTTCTACCATGCTAATAACGTAGTTATTGCAATTCTGTCAGTTACAGATATTTTTAGAAATTTGAAAAAATACGTCCCACCTTTTATTCAAATTATTGTCGTTAATGCATAATTTCTTTTTTTAGAATAGAGCCGTTGAAGTCTATATACAAAATTAAATTAAAAATTTTCTGTTTATTAAATACAATTTGCACAAATTTATTTCATTGTTATGAAATATTAAGAAAAAGTACATGACATGATTTCGTTCAGATTCGATCTTTAATTTGTCCAATCATTTCAAAGCAAGTTTCATGATTGGAATAATCCGAGAAATATTTTTTTGTCGGCTCTAGGCTCGATTATTGATCTTCGGGAATATCAAAAATATTCTGAACGTGAAGCACATTTTTGTTAAAAATTGTTTTCCATATTATCGTATTCGAATTTATACGATTTATAATATCCGGTACAAAATACGGGTTTTCGAAATTTTGGACCAAAATTATCGTTATAATCTACATCGGAATCTAAATTAAAAATGTGTAGCAAAAGTTAAATTTAACAAAGATAACAAACAAGACAAAAAATAGATAATTCAACAATTCAAATTTAACAACAAAAACAAAACAAGAAAACTTTATTTAAAACGAAAAAAACATCAATGTCCACCATAAAAAAACAAACATAGGTACTAGCATGGTACATGGCAAGGTAGATCTAACAGGTAACCGCATCGGCGAATTGCTACAACAAAGCAACTTTTGTGGTCCCCTCAAATGTCAAAATTGGCATCTAAGGCGAAAAACATAGATTCGCCATGACATTTAAAAGTTGCGGCAAATTTGTTTCAACCAATCAGAAACGAGGTGTTTGTTTACATTTTATTTTGTGTCCCTCTCGTCGTAAACGAACGTCGCAATAAAAGTTTTTATTGTAAAACAAATAAGAGTAAAATAAGTATTAATTGTAGTATTGCGATTTTTTTAAACAAAGAAACTTATAATGACTATATTTTACTGGTTTAAACCGAAAGTTTTCCGGAACTGCAAATGACAAGAGTCTAATTCTTGCACTACTTCCCGTGATGTGCTTTGGGAATCTTAGATGTTGAGGCTAACTTAATTCTTAAAGCTGCACTCCATTCTAACCTCCTTCCTTCATGTTCTTTTAATTTTTTACTGGTTTCACTCTTAACTTACTCTTAAATTATTTGAAATATTATAAAAAGGTACTTTTAGGGAAGACAACATAAACAAATTTGTTTTTGCATTCATTTAGGGCGAATTCTTCATTACAACAATTCGTTTTGACATTTAATGGTGCCGTCAGCTGGGCTGATGCGATTACCTAGTACATCTACCTTGGTACATGGGTACTAGTAGAATTAGAAATGTGTAGTAGAATTCATTCAATGAACAAATTAAATTAATAGAGAATACAAGTAAAAACCATGGCAAAATTAATTCGAAAAAAAAGTATTTATAAATAAAAAGATGTTACAATAAAATTTGAAATATATAATTTAAAAAAAATGCAAATATATGACTTATGGTAGAAGAAAACAGGTAGTTGCGTCGACACAACTGCTGGTACAATGCACTGTCAAACCAATTTTGGAGTTGACATTTTTGAATGAAAAAATATTCAAATTTTTAAAAATAGTAGAAAAATGTATTTCATAACAACCTACGATTTGCGTCGTGTAGAAAAACATATAAAAATTAACTTATTAAAAAAACATAATTTTTTGTGACATATATAAGTGTTGACAAGCTTGTAAGCATGGTACAATAAAAAGGTAAGGTAGAGCTATCAGCTGATTACAATTTTTTCCTAAGTGTGCCCGACTTCTGCCAATTTTGTGTAAGTATTTGTTTTGAAAAATGAAAACAAAATATTTCCAAAACCATGATTGGAAGACACGTACATTGCGGCTCGCGTATTAAAGCTATTAACCAGCCGTGAAATTGAAAGATTGAAGAGTTTGGATCATATTTTTGAGAGAAAATCCAGGCATTTCATTCATTTTTCGCGCTATTTAACTCATTTCAAAAATGAAGAAAAATATGAAAAAAAAATGAAAACAACTTGTTGTATATTATTTTTGAATGAGTCTGACAGGAAGCGGGCATAACCTCAGAGCTGTATTTCTGTAGTTTTACGTAGCTGTTCTACCTCCTTTTTGTACCATGCTTGTATGCATCTACTTGTATTATTTTAGCTAATCTCTATCTTAATAATTGATAGAATGGTTGAAATGATATTTAATATATAATTTCGATTGGCTACTAAAAATATATGAATTGCGTTTAGTATAATTATATAATATGATCTTGCCTTAACATTAATTAGTTCCAGAAAAGTAGGTCTTCCGCGACAACGAATTCTAATCTGTACGTAATCACTTTCGGGGGATTAATTTAACCATTTTTTCTTATTTCTTTTCATACTCCATCAACAGAGATCACAATGTTAATAAACTTATTTAGAGCATGAAGGCAATGAGATGGTGTCAAAGGCATAATTTAGAAAAAAGAAAATAAAGTAAACATGATTGCACAATAATTATGTATTGTATTCCTTTGTAAGAACGAAGCCTATATTTAACCTCCAATCTTGATTGAAGCCTAGTAACTTCGGTCCTAAGGCTGTATCATGGTACAGCTGCTGGTACAATAAACTGTCAAACCAATTTTGAAATTGAAAATCTTGAATGAAAAATTATTCGAATTTTTAAAAACTGTAGAAAAATGTATTTCATAACAACCTCCGATTGGCATAATATAAGAGAACTTATAAAAATGTACTTATTTTAAAAAAAAATTTTAAAATTATGACGTATCAACGATTGTGCATCTACCTGTATTCTACCATGGGCTGTATGTTATGTAGGAGTGTTGTTATCGCCAGTGTCTTTTACTTTATGGTGACCAAATTGCAATGCGTAATGACGTTGCTCTTCCATCATACCATTAAAAATATTGCGCTAAACCCCCATTACAATGTCCTCGGTGCTATTGCAGTTTATGTTGACGGTTAAAAACATATTTGGAATGGGTAGGGTAAAAATTAATATGTTAATCGTGTATTCATATTGACTCTTTGAAAAGATATATGTTGTAAAACTCCAATTTCCTCAGAGGTATTTGGTGATGTAGAGTAGTTGAAAATAACTAGTGAAAATGCTTTGCAAGAATTACTGGGTTCTATTTTAGGGATAATATACCAATACCAAGAGGACTATACATAGAATTTTTCTTGAAGATCTCAGATTTTTTCTTCAAAAACATTCACTTTATTTTTGTAGCAGTTCTTATTTTTAAGAAAACTTTGCTCTGAACATTTCACTATTGTTTCTAGAAATCGTGACTTGGTTTATTGTCTTTTTCTGATTTATATTTAAAATTAAGTTCTACGTTATATTCTAAATTATGCTCTGCTATGCTTTCATTTACAAAACCTGCAGTTTCCTTTTCATAATTGAATCCAGTGGGGCTAGAAAAAACAACTGCGACTAATTTAGAATTGACCTTACTTATAAAAGCATGATCTATATATCTTAATCCATGGTAGAAGAACATAGGTAGTCGCATCGACACAGCTGCTGGGACAGTGAACTTTTAAACCAATTTTGATCGAAAAACTATTCAAATTAGTAAAAGTTGTTGAAAAATGCTTATTCTAAAAACCTCCGATTGGTGTCGTATTAAAAAAACTCATAAAAATCTACTTATTTTTGAAAACATTTTAAAATTTTTGACATATCAATGCTTCCAAGCGTTAATGCATGTACCTGTATTCTTCTACCATGGAATAATCCATCACAAAAAGTAGTACGTACTTACTTACTTACTGATAACTTAAAGGTGGGAATACATAATACGTATTTTTACTGTCTTAAGTCATCGGCAGGATTCTTCGAAAAAGAATAAAGGACAAATATAAATTATGATAATGAGATTTTAATCATATGATTTCACGACTTTACTTTCTTAATTCTAACATGGTTTTACCCATGACACAGTAGAATAAAGTAGAGTTTGGTATCCCTATTCTGTCAAGATATACACCGTTTGTATATGTGCGTGTGTATTATTTTGAATAATAAGGAAAACTAAAAAAAAAATTCCAAATATAAAATGTGTGGGAATAAACTTTCGAGTTTTGGGACGAAACTAAAGGTAGAAGTAAATGAAGGGCTTTTTTGACTGGTATAAGTCATCGGTTGGCTTCTTTGTAAAATAACAAAGGAGTTTAGAACCAAAATCGAACTAAGTCAACCTAAACCTCTTTTGTTTCTCTACAGGTAAGCCAGCCGATGACTTAAACAAGTAAAAAGTGTTTTATGTATTCTCACCTTAAATTTGGTCAAAGTGGGCTGCTATTCTTGCTATTTGAAAATGTGAATGTAAAACTTTTTTAAAGAAAATAAATGTCAAATGAAAAATTTTATAAAGGAAATATTTTTTATTTCAGATTTTTATTGAACAGT